ACAGCTGATCGGGTCATGATCTCATAAGAATAATGTCCAGGGAGCAATCTCTACCGGAAGTCTACGTTTCATGCAGTGGGGAGCTACTCCACCTTTAATACGCAGAAGATTGCAGCTTGCAAAAGCCGTGTTCTGTTCCACGCCAAATCTAATCACCACACTTGCAGTGGTGCATGGCTCTGTGTGTGTGTCTAGCAAAAGTGCTGAGGATGCAGATGGATTCTAGCGAGACGCCCCGCCGAATCATGTGCGATCAAACACCTATTTCATGCAATGCAGCATGTCGACTTCTAAACACATTGTAGACGATAGGGCCGGGGTCACAACATCGACATCGAGTGCATCATGATTGAATGATTAGGCGGCAGCTTCCTCAACCGATTTGCTCTTTGCTTTTGCCTTTTTCGCCGGTTTCGGCTTTTGCGACTTCACCAAGGCTTCAGCGGCGGTCTCATGGCCCGCGAGAATCTTCAAATGCTCAAGATGTTCCTTCACGTACGGAAGGTAGGCGCGCTCCTGGCAGGGCACCACAAGGCCGATGCAACAAACACACACGAGCCAAGCATGATCTCCTCGTCCACTTTCTGCTCCACCAGTTGGTTGGCAGCAGCATAGTGCTTCCTCACGTAGATTACCGAACAAAGTATGTACTGCCCTTGGTATAGCTGCGGGCGCAGTTCGCATAAACATTCTTCTATCGGCGTGGCCAGGTGGCGACGGCGGATGGAAGAATGCTTCTGGTGGGCGGCGCAAAGCAGCCGAACCTCACCCTACACCAGCCAGAACACCGACAAGTCGCTAGATCGGCTCGGATCTCGGTGAGCAACTTCTCGGCATGGCATGGGGCACGCTCGTCAACTGGGTTTCCAGTGTCGTTGTCCGGGTCACCTTCTTCAGAAATTGTCTTTGAGATCCTGCCCCTTCTCCAAGGAAGGGGGTCGTGGGCTCCGCCTTTTGCCGTTTCGGAATTTTAGTCGGCCTCGGTGGCGGCGGCTTCGGCGCCTCTTCGGGTGTACCCATTTTCGCAGGGTCCTCCTCTACGATGTCCCGGCCGCTATCGTCAAGCACGTCACTGAGTCACTCAGCCTGATGACCACAGGAAGGTATGCTGACTAGGCCCCTCTCGTAAGGACGAACCGTCGTCGAGGCTTCGTTGCTATCGTAGGCGAGGCTGGTCTGCAGGAGCTCTTGAACAGCCCCACGCTCTGACAAAAATGTACTCGGCAAGGAGCTAACAAATCAATGTCTCGGGCATCGGAAGTTAGCCCGCCAACACTACACGCCTTTGTGGGCCCTACACAGGGAGAAGCTCACGAGGTGATGGGCGAGACTCACAATCAATTACGCGGTGTTCGCAAGAAAGCTTCTATGACGATGTGACTCGTAATGCCTCGAGATGTTGGCTTGGGCCTGCAGTGCCCGCAGGGCTCCATGTAGACAAGAGTCGAGACGGGACTCGCATGAGAGAAACAAGGGCAAGCAAACAGTGGCAGCTTAGGGAAACCCCACTGCACGTGTTGTGATTCTGCTTGTTCTCTTGGATTCCACTGCGGGTCAAGGATCTTAGGGACCGAAACAAGTTCCTGACAAATGCGAAATCAATGCTTCCCGCGAAACCAAAAGCAGAACTAGTAGCGAGCAATGATTCCGGCAGCAGCTGCAATGATGCAACGAAACAAGAAAGTGACAGAGCAAGGCTATGCCGATGTGCACGTGTCCATCTGATATTGCCCGTCCAGGGTCGGCCTGGACGATAAGCAGCACATAGAAGCCACCCTAACCTATGCACCTCCTTCCGAAGGCCACGGAGGTGGGCGGCGCAACACATCAGGAATGCAGGAAGCGCCTGCCGAAGCATCAGGGTCACTAGGGAAACCGTGACCCGAGGAGCCTAAACCCAAAGGGCCAAAACCCGAAACAGAGTCCGAAGACAGAGTCACCTCGTCGAAATTAAGGTGCGCAGAGGAAGAGCCTAAACCCAAAGGGCCTAAACCAAGAGAGCCAAAACCCGACAGGGAAGCAGAAGGTTCGGCAAGCTCAACACGGTCAGGGTGCTCCAGCGCCAAAGCGCGAGTCGCCTTAGCCGCGACACACAGCAGATACTGCTGCACCAGACAAACTTCAGACTGAGTCAAATACGTGTTAACAGGTGCAAGACCGCACCTCTTCAAGCAGTTTGGAAGTATGACTTCCGGACGCAGCTTCGAGAAAAGCTCAGTTCTTTCAGCACGTGTCCATCTTGGCACTCAGCATGGGAGCGCTGTCAGTTGCAAGGGACAAAGCCGTCGATTCCGGCACGGCAAGCCCTTGGTCGCATCCCTTTGGCTCGTGACCCTCGCTCTGGTTATATCTCGCCGCAAGGTGCTCGTGCAGCACAGTCGAAATCCGAAACAGCGCGCTGGAAATCCCGAGAGCCAGACAACGAGCGCCGCAATGAAGGAAGGATGCTCTGTCGCCTTGCCTACACACAGAAACACACGCCCACGGCTGGCTGTCCTCGCAGCACATGTCCTTCCAAGGGCATGCTTTGAATGTCTGGAATTGCGAAATCTGGCATCATGTCGTACACAGACATCCAATGTTGTCTCTAGTGCCTTGACGTCAGGTATCGTATGTTGCTGGTTCTCGACTTCGATTAGAAGCTTCACTCAATACGCACAAGCTGGTATGCTACTGACACCTCAACTCCGGGGGCCCTCGTCACTACTGGGTCATCACCAATGTTGAATCTCTGGGGCCTTCCCAAAATGCCATAAGCGACTCTGGAATTTCCCTGGGGTTAGCCAAAGTTGGGATCAGTGGATTGCCCGGACTCTGAACACTCGAAGCTGGGGCACCCGGGCACCACCTTGCGGTGGGCTTGGCTGTGCGGAGGAGCTGTCGCTCGGACCAACTACATTCTCTTGGGCTATTCTGCTCAGTCGTCAAAACAGACCTCAGCGTGTTGACCTCAGCTATAAGCTCCGCGTTCCCGATCCTCGAGATCAACAACCAAGCTGTCGCACTGCTGTTCCTCAGAGGTAAGATGGTAGTATGGTAGTGGCATTCGTTTTCTTCCCAGTGAAGCTTTTCCTGGAATTCATAACCCAAGTAGCTAATCAATTGCGACCTATTCTCATCGAATGAAGTGCGCAACTCTGCGTGCGACTGTTCGCACTGTCTGTTCTCAGCGGTGAATGCGCGTGCACGTGACTCGGCTTCGGAGTTATGCGCAGCAAGCTGTAAGGCCAACAGTCGTTCTTCAGGACACTCCTGGTCCCTGCGTGCCAACTGTCTCTGCGAACCTTGCGCCGTCCGATGTTCCACAGCTGCAATCCGCTGTAAGACGCGGTTCTCGCTGTGAAACTGTCCGACAAGAACTGCTCTGGATTCCCCACGAACGAAAGCTGTTGTCTATGATTGGCATCGGCAGTTGCTTCAAGGTTGGCGATGTAGACTGGGGTTGCATTGTAAATGTTGTCTAAGACAAGCTGATGCCTCCGTTCTGCACGAAGTTCAAGTGCGGCCTGCATCCGAGGGACATTGACGAAAACGTTTACTGGCGGTTTTCCTGTAGCAGGTGGAGGAAGTGCTGGTTTGCCGACGCCTCATTTGTATGTCCCTCCGTATCACCTGCTGCTGCCATGAACGGTACGATGTCCATTCAATAAGCTAACTACGGCTGATAACCTGAAGCACAGCAACACGCAGTCAATCCACTTGACCCCAGATGCGGTCGCGTAAGAGAACTGCTAAGGACAACAAAAGTACATGTGGGGGGCAGGGTAAAATCTACAGGATCTGCACACGTTCAGAAGTGTGGAGATGAAAATGCGGTTGCTGCGTCAACCGCGACCGTGCGGCGACAGCGCATTGAGGGTTTGCACCGTGTTTAGGGAAATGTTGTTCTTTTTCGGCACTTTTGCGCATCTGTGTTTGGAAGGGTGCGGAGCCACTAGTCAGTGTCGTTTTTTCCGGGACTTTGAAGACCAATGTGTAGAAAACATTAGCTGGCGTGGCATTTTCGCAACACACTGTTCGAGCACCTTCAAGTGAAAACTTGTTCAGGCTGTTTTTTGTTGTGTTTTTTCCTGTTGTTGTTGTGGTGGTGGTTGTGGTGGTGGTGCTGGGGAGTGGTTGTGGTGGTGGTGCTGGTGGTGGTGGTGGTGCTGGTGGTGGTGGTGGTGGTGGTGGTGGTGGTGGTGGTGGTGGTGGTGGAGGTGGTGGTGGTGGTGGTGGTCGTTCTTGTTGTTGCTGTTCTTGTTGTTGTTCTTCTTCTTGTTTTGAACATGGTCGGCCACCCTTCTTCGGGCAAGAACGTTTACAAAACCGAAAGACAAGTTGTGACAGGATGCAAGCCCAGAGACGTTATTATGCCTCTCCCGCCCACCACCCCAACCCAACCAGTAAGAGTCCAACAGTCTAATGGGCAGCAGGCCGCAGCAGTAGTAGAGCTAGTCTGAACATGAAGAATTCAAGGGGAGCAGGCATCAGCGGTAGTAGAACTGATAAGAGTCGAACAGGCTCTCATCTACGAAAGCAACGATCGACCAAGCATGATTAAGCCCCCCCTAACCCAGAAAACGTGGAAAAACCTGCAAAAACCCTGCGGTCACCCCTGACGCCGCAAGCGAAAACGTCGGTTTCCCTGGCTGAGATACTGAGCTGTACTCATTGAACCCGAAGCGGATCGTGCGACTCGAGGCGGTTGTTTGTACACATTTGTTGAAGAAGCCGTGACTCAACGATACCCACATCAGCCAGACCTTCATGGGTCCTGCCTCCAGTGACTCGCAACTCCAGCTTGCAGTTTCAGATTCAGGGACGTTTGGAGGGATGTCGAAGCAATAATGGGACGGCAAAGGCCTTCCCACACATCGAATCGAAGTACGGATACGTTTGCAGACCGCAAAAAATCAGCACGACAACTTGCCATATGTACTGAGGGAGGCCTGTAATGCAAGGAGAGTGAGACAGGGTTCCCTGACCCTTGCTTTCAGCTTTAATTGCAGCTGAGATTCGCACGAAGTGTTTCAGAACTTGCTCTGCGTCATCAATCTTAGCACCGTAATTGATCTCACCCGCATCACTCAATCCATCGACTTCCGCCACCCAATTTATGAGCTGTAGGGCTGACGAAGACTCGGACCACTGGATAGGATAAATCACTAGCTTGAGCTGAGAATTGCCAGACAGAATCATGGTCTCGCCGTCGAGGAAAGGTGCGCTAGTTGTGACCCCACGAAACATCGTCACGCCACTCGGCTTGATAGAGCTTGTGGCCAAACTTGCTCGGACAGGAGAATGGATGCCATCTGCCGCAATCAACCTTAACAGCCAGCTGAGCGAGTTCACTGAGCAAACGAGTAAATGGTAGTGACGATCGCACGCCAAAGGCTGAGACTATGGTGCACCATAGCATATTCGCCTCGGGCCCAGCCGAAGCGGTCAGAGGTTCCCTCGATCCCCAAACAAAAAAGCCACTGAACCCCCCTTCCAAAAGCAAAAGAAGCATGTATATCTATATGCATAGGTATGTGTGCATATGCTTGTATATATATATATATATATATATATATAAATATATATATATATATATATATACATATATATATATATATATATATTTATTTATTTATTTATATTTATTTATTTATTTATACTATATATGTATATGAACATACATATACATATACCTATATATTACATACGTAAATATGTATATACATAGGTATATGAGCATGTACATAAGTATGTATATATTAACAGGTTTACATGTATATACATAATATGTGGTCAGGCGTCTGGCGTTTCCGGTCTTCCCGCCCTCCGATACTGTGGCTCCAGGAGGGGAAGCGGGGGCCACAGGCGCGGAATCGTTGAAGGCTACTTTGCAACAGTACGAGGGTTTGGAGGGGGCAAAGATGCTGCGGAGTCGCAACACTCACAGGAATGGGGCGGTGCGGGCTGGAACCCACAAGACAGTTGACGGTTTCGGACCTGGATCTCCATCAATGCGAGAAACTGTAGATGTGGAGACGATTCCAATGATGTGGGGATAATGACAACGACATCCCGAACATGCCAACAGTCAGCGACATGGGTCGCGACGCTCGTCAAAATCGTCGGTTGAAAATGGATCTTGATACTGACTTGCCGTCACTTATGGCATTTATGACTCTTGACATCCTGCGGGCACAAAAACTCAAGCAAACCTGCACTCATGGGAAGAAAGGAGGATTAAACAAAGCCAAACCCAAGCCCAGCCCACACCCACGGGGGAATGGAAAATTGCCCCATCCCCAGAACGTTTGACCTTGGGGGCAGGACTCCCACAAAAGCAAACAAATTCTTGCCCACAAGCAAGCCCGAACTCGCACACTCCACGCACAGAAGGGGATGGGCATTGACCGTGCCTCTGGCTTGCAAGCCCCCGCAACCAAAGATTCTGGCTTCAGATACTCGGGTTGGTGGGGATTTGCTCAAAGAATCGAACAAACTACCAACACCCCCAAACCCCCACCTCCTCCCTCCCTGCCCTCGTTTGTCGCATTGCGCAGTCTGAATTTCGAAACTGCTCTTCAGTTGTTTGCTGCCAGAGACCTGCAACTGTTCACTATGCGGCCTGCCCAAAGCTTCGCCTGCTGGGACTCTACTGCGAACCCTGAAGTTCAAACCCGAATTCCGGCGTCGAACTACCTACCAGCACTCATGATCATCGCGCACACAAGCTTGACACCTAAGAACTTGTACAAATGCTCTACTCGTTGGTCCTTGCTTCAAAGCGTTTGCAACACTCCTCAAACCCGTCGGTCCTCCGCGCTTGCGGTCAGGAGGCGGACGACACGAAGTGTTTGCAAGTATAATGCGCAGGCCGAAACTCTGGATCATGAAAGTCGTGCCGTAGCTTACCCTCAACCGACACTGAATTGGCTACTCAGCAACACATCGCCGACTGCATCCACACTATCTTCGCCGCTTCCGTCCCGTCTTGACGCGTGCACGGTGACCCTTGGCTTCTCTTCGAGCAGGTATGCACAACTTGAAGTGTCTAGCTGCGATGTCGCTTACGAAGACACGTTTGGCTTGGACGTTCAGACAAAGACGCTTTTAAGCAGCATTAGTCTGCTCGATAGAGCAAGCTGCAGGTGTGCCAGTACACTTCTCAACATACACCATATGATGCATGTAGCAGGCATGGTTTAGTCGGCAGTGTCTTGGTCTACGTCTTACCCGTGCGTCATATTGCCCAAGCCCCGCAAGCGAATCCCAGGCTCGCATCAGCAGTTTGGGAGTAACGCTCCACACGAGTGCCAGTATGCAAGCATTCTTGGCCGGCACGGGCCAGGAAGGCTTCGTAAAGGATCTGGTGCAGCACCCCTCCAGTCAGCTTGGCGCTTAGTGCTTTGAGTATAAGCGGATGACCTGGATCTAGAATTTAGGCTTCAAGACTTCTCCTGACTCAAGCCCACTATCTCCTAGTCCAAACTCGCAAATCTTAGATCTTCAGACCCTGACTAGAACCTAAAGTCTTAACCCTAGCCTTTGGACCCTTTCTCTCACGCCTCGATGTATTGAAATCTGTGGTGCCTCGTGGCCTGCCGCAAGGCCTGGATTTCTTGAAGGTTCGAGTTGTGGGTTTCGGGTTCAGGGTTTACGGTGAGATAGGGCTACTTCCGCTTTCAGCAAGGGGCAATGGGAGAAGAGGACTCTTTGATCGGCAATGGAGGTGCAACATCCGAGAACACGACGAGCAGGATAATGCCAACAACAGGGAATGACAATCAGAACGCAAATGATTTCACCAGCAATCGTTGCAAACCCCTGCCTTTGGGGACAGCCGTGATCAGCTCGCCAAAGCGTGTGTAGTAGGCTTGGTGCTTGGGACTACAACTGCGCTGCAAGAGCTCTTTCTCTAGTCCGAGATCAAACAGCACCTTGACAGCATGCGGCTGCAGGTTAATGCCAGCCCCAACCTCGGACTTCATGGCCCGTGCGGATTCGAAGACCCGAACTCCAAGGCCACGAGCATGCAGGGCCAGTGCGGCTGCCAAGCCGCCAATACCACCACCGCTCACCAAGACTTGTAGAACCATTACGGGACCCTGGTCCTAAACACAGGCGAAGGGACCAGCTAAGAGCAACGTAACCTTGAGCCATCCGGGCCATCCGTTAAGCTTCCACAAAACTTATGTTCGAATCAGCGTCTCCACTCGTGGACCAAGCTGGTTTCTTTCCCGCTGCACGTCAGACGAAACCTGCCAGCTCGTCGTCTACTGCTATGACCTGGTCTACGGTGCCTGCAGGCAAATCGCAGTTAATCTGCATCTTGCCCACTGATTCGAAAAGAAAAGCAATGGCACTCACCATTGTTAGCACATCCGTGGCGCACAAAGCCTTGAAGTCTTTTCCGACAGGACACTCTGAGGCGACCAACGAAATCAAGGCACCCGTGACGACAAAGGAGCCTAGCACGCCACTAAGATCAGTCATGCAAGCGTCCTTTTGGTTGGCTGAGTCCTTGCAAGTCTGAACCGCGCCAGAGATCAACACGCCTCCTCTAATGGCAAACTGGCTCAGGACTAGACTTGTGAAGACACAGTCCGAGAGCTCTGCCTTTCGCGTCGCCCGATCCTTGAGCCGAGCATTGATCTTCTCCAACGTCTTGGAGGAGAGCACGTCGCGGGGAGCTGCTGGCAGCAAGGCCAGCTTGGGTTTCTCATTCTCCGACTGGTTCTGCAGTCTTCTCACTGCGGGCGCTAATGGAAAAGGCAAGTCAGGCCTCTCCTGAGGAGGTAGGCTAGCAGTGCCGCAAGACAGCTGGAAAGCAGATGCCGCTGTGGAGATCAAGCCCAAGCTCCCCGTCAGCTCGAAAGCAGAGTGGGCACAAAACACAGGGACGTTGAAGGTGTCAGCGCATGTGGCAGCAGCAGACGTGATGAAGGTGGCCAGAAACATTGTCCGAGCGATAAGTGCGTTTACACCCGTGGAGCAGGCCGCCTTCTCCTGAGGAGTGTCCGTGCGTTGACAATCCCGGTGCACAAAATGGGCTGCTGCACCCACCTGGCCGACAGCTCCCACAGCACCGGTGATGTCTAAGCCGCAAATGATCTGCAGGTTCACGGGCTGCTTCAGCATGCGCCCACGCAGTGAATGCAGGCGTCCGTCGGTTCCGTTCATCTGTGAAACTTCAGAGGCGCCGGCGGCGCTTGCCAGTATCAGAAGCACTTTCCACATTGGGACAGCTGCAAAAAACATCAGCAAGAGCTTCCAAACGCTTGTGCCGAAAAGCTTACAGCAGGATAACCTGTCACTGCACAAACGGGATGCGGCGTTTTAGCTACAACTGCTTCGAGCTCTTTTTTCCGGGAACTGGATGCCAGGCTGCTGTTGAGTGGAGGTCATCGCTCCTCTTTGCGAGCCTGGTTTAGCGATATCTACGGGCTTTGCCGGGATACAAAACTGACATATATATGAGTATATGACGGCACCTCCAGGGCCGTGTGCATCGCAGGGGCTCTTGCCTTTGGCCGTTCTTAGCGAAAGCGGCGAAGCCAACGCTTCCAGCGAGTGTTGTAGCCGTAGCTGCTGTAGCTATAGCTGGGCGCTGGAGTGGAACCACCGCCGCTGTAGTCGTAGTCCACACAGACGGGGTCTGGACAGTTGGCGCCCGGGCTCAGACAGTGACTTGGCGGATATTGATAGATGCCCTGGTCGGCGAAGTTGGGGTTTGTCGTGTGCTCCGGGCCATCGACTCGCAAGAGTGTCATCATTCCCAGGTCGTTGTGGTACAGCAGATGGCAGTGCAGAAGGAACCTACCAGTGTAGCAGTCCGTTTGGAAGCGGACTACGGCGTCGCTGTCGGGACAATTGAAGGGGCCAAAGGACAGGTCACACGTCTTGGGAAGGACAATCTGGTCTGCCCAGTCCCCGACTTCCATGTACCCACCATACAGTTCCTTGTAGCCGGCGAAGGCAAAGGACTGGATTTGAACCGGGTTGCCGTGCATGTGCCAGGAGTGGAACTGAAGGCCTTTTGCCCTCATCTGATACACTTCTCCAACCTGCAACACGGCCTGGTACTGGTCACTCATGCCCTCTTTGTAGGTCTCATTGTTCAAGGCGAAACGAACGGGATAGTTGAGGTAAGCCTCAGATCTCCGACCTCCCCTATACCGTCATACCAAACAGCGGACAGGCAACTGCAGGAGAGGGAGTAACCGCAGCCGCGATTGAATAGCAAGACTCCAACGTCAAGCCTACAGTTACTTGCACAATCAGACATGAAGGTCCAAAGGTCCAGGGCATCGAATGGCTCTGCTGAGGGCCCCGTGGCTGGCGCAATGGCCTGGACCAATCAAAGGTTTCGTGTCCAGGGATGTCAGCTGTATGTCCTTTCGGGCTTACTTCGGGCTTGGGTGTTGCCTTCAAGTATTACAAGCTTTAGACAACGGTGTAGGCTTTAAGGGTTTGGCTGAAGTTCAGACCATCGGAATTCCGCTACCTGGTCCACAAGGATCGTCTTGCCATCGTCGTCCAGGACGATTACGATAGGTTCCTTGGAGAATAATCGGGCACTCAATCGAATTTAAGCAATAAGAACCCGGGGGAAACCTACCTACGTCTCCTGTACGTCTTTTCCTGTGCCTGGTACGTTTGTTAGCGCGTACCTCCGCACCGGTGTGCATGCAGGTATGTAGATGTATAGGTATGTACGTATATGCGTATGTATGTATGTACAGAGATATGTGGGCGTATCTACATAGAGGCAAGCATGTACGTTCGGGTGGATGGGCCCGGTATGGAGGCATGCATGTCTTGGTATATCTGTATGCACGTATGCATGTATGTCTATCATATTGTCTGAATATGCATGCTTGTCGCAGGGTGTGCAGTGCGTACCTAGTTACGTTTTGGCGGTGGGCCGTGCCGTATTGATCAATTGAAGCGGGGTTGGTGGTATATACGTACACTAGCACATTAGTACATTGTAGTAGCTGTGGCTAAGTAGGCAGGAAGGGTAGGATAGGGTAGGTACATAGGCGGGTAGGTAGGTAGGTAGGCAGGCAGGTAATGAGTTCAAGTCAAAGACGTATGAAGACGCTCGCAAGTCTGAACCAAATAGCCAGTCCAAGTGCGACACCAGCTTCCCGACAAAGGATGACAGAGGGTGTTTAGGTGTTTATATCAAGTCCAGCCAAATGTCTGCAGGTCGAGTTGGATTGGATACATTTGGAGTGGCAATATCCACATCATCCACATCGCGCAAGTCATTCAAGTAGCCTGGGCGGACGTGGTGCAGCACCAACGCTCTGGGATGCACTGATGGGACAATGCCGTATGAAGGCGTACCGGGGTTGAAGTTGACTGACAGGTTTCCAGGCATTCCCAAGAGATTCTGAAAGCTTCCACAAAAAGTCATAGGCAAAACTAAGATGCAAGCGATAAAAAAAGCTGATTGCCTGGTGCAGCCAGAGCTCGTGGCCTTTGAGCTTGCACCTGTCGAGGCGGCTTCAGAGGCCACCATACGCGCGGGCCCTTCACGTCCAGCCACATCACGGTCTTGGCTCGCGGCTTTGGGGCTTTAGGCTTGAGAGCACGGGCCGCAGGTAACAAGATTAGCACAGCAGCGCAGAAGTGGTGGGAGGGGAACTGGGCAATCACTAGAGCCGCTAGAGCTGTCAGCGGTGATGGTGCTTGCAGTTGAGTTCTCAGCTGTAATGGCAACTAGTACAGGCGCAGCGGTGATAGCAAAGTTGTTGAAACCAGAAGCAGCAGCAGCAGCAGCAGCAGCAGCAGCAGCAGCAGCACCTGCAGCGAGAGCAAATGGGCAGCAGTAGACAGCAAACATGTGAACTCGCGGCCCATGCCTGAAGCAAGGGCTGCAGCTCTTCATCCAATGGGGCAATGATGGAGTCCGTGAGCTGTTGCTTCAGAGCCTTGCGTCCTCGAATGAAGGGATGCCAGACATCCAACCATGTTGCCCTATGCGTGCATGCAGAACGGTGCCCAGCTCTTAGGTCCTGGGGTCTTGCAGCGCACGATGACCTGGCATCGGTTGCCAGGGCCCATCCAAATGCCCTTGGCGGGTGGAGGCAACTAGTTACTGAGCGACCTGTTGACCTGTTGCAAGCTTCGAAAATTGAAACACTCGGACAAGGGATACCAGAAGACCATTCGCCCGGCACAGAAGCACCTAGATGAGAGACTCTGGGAACCTTCGTGGGGTGCCACAATCGCCGTCCAGGGCACTTTGTTGAGCTTGCGTGGGTAGACTGGCAAAAACACGTTGTCCTTGGCAATCAAATGCCTTGGTGGTGTCATGGCGCTATCGTTTGTCGGGCATAATCATGTTTCAAAGAACTGCGAAGGTGTTGCATCAGATTCTACAGGATGGACGGGCTGCATCTCACAATCGTCATCCTCCAAGACGAGATTGACTGCATCATGGTGCCCTGCGTAAACAAAGCGCATTCGGATCCACTGCCCGGTCTTAATCCGCGGCATGGTTGGCGAAAACTGACCATTGACCGTGAAAAACGTTCGCAATGGAATGGTCTGACCTTCATCGAACCCAAAGCCCGGCAGGATCTCCACATTGGTCACATCATCTTCTGTCAAGTTCTTGATCATCAAGGTGCGTGCACCTAAAATGGCGCAATTGAGAGTGAATGTGGACCCGAAGGGGTGGCAACCTTGAAGGAAATCATTGGGCGCTTCGTTCAAGTAGTCAGGCCCAAAGTATTGCCACTTATGCTCCTGGATGATCATGACCTCATCCCTCATGCGACTGATGTAGTCCGGTACTTCTCCTTCGGAGTCTTGGATGATGATCACCCCAGCCATGCCACCCGCAATCTGCAACGTAGTGGACCCGTGCTCATGGGGGTGATACCAAGTCTGCCCGGCATTTTGGTAGGGCGAAATATCGTAAATGTGCTCGAAAGATCCCCCAGGAGGTACCTGACCAAGAAACCTACACATTGCCCATGCCTTGTTCTTAGCCGCTTTATGTGATAGCGCTGACAGTAGTCTTCAGAATATTCATCATTAGAGCAATCGCAATACAACTCTTGTGAACATAATAGGAACGAAAAGCGTGAAACAAACATAAACCCACCAAGAATCGCCACTACAATCCAATATTGCTGTTTGGTTATAGATTTCAGAACATCAGCAGGGTCAGAAAGTTAGATGAAAAATGCACGAGCCATGTTGCCTCGGCGTCCAGAGTGTTGTCTGCGGCGCCCTCTGGCGAGATGTGGAAGCCATGGGTGTGGAGGCGAGTAAAATTGGCGTTGTGGAAGTTGTTCATGCTAGGACTCATCTGGCTCCTCGGCTGGATGCGGTTGCCAGGGGGTTCAGGAAAAAGAGAACTGTACAGCGTTAAACCCACGATGGGTTAGCCTTGGCTCTGGTACGGCGAAGTCAGGTTCTGACCCACGTCTTGAAAGAAAGGATTGCTCTCGTTGAGCTCGTCCTGCGCAGGTCGGAGCGCGAGCCCCATGCCCCTCCCGATCCCTGCAACAGGTGCCGCTCGCCGACTCCGAGTAAAAATCGTAGGAATCGTGATTTGACTGTTGCAAGACAGAGACAGAACCCCAGGCCCCAGTAACACAAGATTAGCTATTGCCCCAACTCTGCTCTCGCAAGCTTCCCAAACGTTCAGACTCCGTTTCTCCATCCATTCGAAAGCATCCCTAGGCGGCTGAACAGAATGTATATACGTGTAAGTATATATATATATATGCATACCCATGTACACAAACACTTATACATATGTGTATATAGATCTACGAACATAGCAAACATGTATAACATATACATGTATATGTATATGTATATGTGTGCATACGTACATGGATTCGTGGTTCAATCCATCAGCTCGACAGCAAAACAAGAAAGCATGTGTATTGAAGAGCTTGTTTCAAATGTCAGATTTCGCCAATGACTTGATATTACGTGGATGACCCTCCTTTGAATGCTGAACTGCTTCTCTGGAATGCCCTTGAACACAGCTGCAAGATTTCGGAACTGCTGCACCATTCGTGAACCTGGCTACAAGTAATTATTATTTGCAAATCTGCACGTGAACAATGTAGGCATGGCTTCTGCTGCTCTACACTGTAATTGTGCCGGCAGCTATGAGACGTCGTGGCTCCTGGCCCTCACGCCGCTGCTGCACGGACTGCGGGGTTGCTTGAAGCCTGCCGGAAAGGACATGGGTTGCTAAGGGTTAGGCTGTGGTTTGTGGTGTTTCAGCGTTGTAGGCAGGACAAGACCGTTTCCGGTGCATGTGCACAGTGGGTCCTCTAGAGCCAGGGCTTGACATCATGCAAGATTGTACCGTGTGCCATAACACATGCCCATACAATCACCTCTGAAATATTGACTGATAACACACATCGCATCTGGCATACAGTCTGACAGGAAGTCAGTAAAGCACAGCGAAGAGGACATGCCTGTTGATGACGTTAATCTTGAGCCGGTCGCCGCGCTTCACGAACATGGCTGGACCTGAGAAAGAGCTGCTTCGAGGCACCGGTAGCAGGTTTGCCGTTTAGCCAGCGGTTTGAGGAAGGACTGCCCTTGGAGTGCATTGCCGTCCTGCTGATATGAACCACGCTGCACACACATTCAACACAGCTAAGAAAATCGATTTGAACGTGAAACTTCCCACGGCATGTTGTTGAAATGCCACGAAAGAGTGTGCCCTATAGTTGTATTGCACATGTGCGCAAATGCGCCAAAAATCGTGGTCCCGAAAGGCTTGTAATCGCAAGTACACATGTAGTATGCAGAAGACGTCCAAGCTGAGCTTCTCATGCTTCAAGAGTGTCTATACCTTTGTGACTTTGACACGTCAGCTGTAGAAACATGTAGAAAGATGGAACACGGCTCGTCCGGAACCGTGTCGTTTCGAGAGTGCAACTTCGCAACATGGGATCCGAACGCTGCCACTCCTGGAATGCACGAAAAGCCTTGCATATCACATAGGATCGTAATGTTATCCGGTCATGAGGCTTGCACAAACTTCGCTCATCAAATAGTTTCGGAATGTTTCGGGTCATGAACTCCCAGAACGTTCGAACGCCGCAACCGGTAGCTGGCCAATGCCCGTCGCACAAGCGTAGCATGAAACCATGTCCGCAGTTCTGGTCGACGCTAGTGCTTTGCAGACCTTCCCTCGTATTTGTATCATCTGTCATCCACAAAACTATCAGCAACTCTGTACTCCAACGCTTGCACTTCGTACTGGCTCTCTCCAAACTTTGCCAAACCATATACATCAGCGCTTGCACTTTGTTTGACACCCTACCTACTTCCATATGTGCGGCGTTACTATAACAAACGTGCTCTGGATGATGCTGCTATCGTAAAACCAATAACTAGGAAAAAGGTGGGCTTCATTGCTTCTTCGTCGCGAACTACATGGTTCGGGACATCCAAACTGCAAAGTTACAGACAGCTCAAGGGGCATGCAGTAAATTGCTGTGTAGTTTCTTGATGTACTTGGCTTCTTGGTTTTTTGCAGTTTGATACGGTTATACAAATGGCTCGAGGAGCGGTCAAATTTTTGTCATTTGCAGATAGGTAAGGGATACGCACGGCAGTGCTTCTGTATACATATATATATATATAGATGTGTGTGTGTGCATACACATGTATATGCATATATCTGTAGACAAGGCATCCATGTGTACCTGTGTGTATGTGTATATATATATATGTGTATATATATATATGTGTGTGTGCATGTGTATATATATATATATATATATATACGTGTATAGAAGGGATATATATATATATATGTATATATATATGTATGTATGTATATGTATACATACATATATATATATATATATATATATAGATATACACATATGTGTGTATACATACGTTGATACAAGTGACCATAAATGCACACATGCACAAATGTGGTAATCATACTGCGGCAACGAATGGGTGCAAACATACAATACCAGTCAAAACAACAACTGAGGCCATGACCTGGGAAGCTGTAGTTGTAAGCCCGAGTCGTCAGCTTGATTCCAGCTTCTGGGAACGTGAAATCTGCCACATCCACGATGAGCGAGGTCGCCTGAAGAGCACTCTAAGCGGGCAGGGTAGGGTATAGCAGGGTGTGTATAAAGAACTACCTCTACAAAGCTTCCCTGATGCTTCGAGTCTCTAGCACGCCATTGTCCGAATACACACGCTCCAAAGGCCGCAAAGTCTTGGATTGGCCTTTGCACAGAACTGACCTCTCTGTGGCAGATGTGCCACCGCAGTCCACTGGGTCTGTGTTCACGCAGTGCATGTTGTAGAGCTTGGGGTTTTTCTCGCGCAGAACTGAGCATGGAGGGCAACGTGTGTGGAAGAGATCAACAAGATTCTTGAGGTATTTCCCCCAGGCTTTTGGAGGGTACACCCCAGCGGCCGTCTCCCGATTCTCCCGAAAGTGCTGGCGAATCTGCGTCATGATGCTGTCCTCATCTTCGGTGACACAGTTGCCGCACTCTGCTGGAGGAGCTGCTTCCAGCACTGCCAGAGTGCTCAAGACAAGCAGGCGCCACATGGCTACTCCAACACCTCCCCTCAACTCAACTTTCAGCACTGCAGAATGCTGCGAAATGATCTTCTCCATGTAAACCATTTCACACTTCCCAAGAAACGACTAACGACTGCAAATGGCGCCAAGCATTCTCTTCTCACGTTGATGGAGCCGGCTGTTGCGGCCAAAAACTTGCGGTGTACTCTGACACTGCAAGCACAAGCCTGTTTCACTCAGGGACATGTGCAAATGGCGGAATGAAGGGCATTGCGCCTGTTGAGTCTGTGCAACTTACAGAGGCTGACGGTTTGTCAAGCCTTGTCGTGGGGAAATATGTGTCGCGACGTGCGTCAACTATGCATGGGGAAAACAGGAATGAAGCGCCAGTCGCTGAATTCAGCAATGCCCTCATGGCAGCACGGAAGGAAAACTGGCCGCGACATGTGGTTTGCAAATTTACATGAACGTGCAAGTGATTAGCAGATTGTGCATGAAGGCTTCCCATCCACCCAGTGATCGGATTTGGACCAGATCTGCGGGATCCTCAGCTACCACCCACGCGGGGTAATTGTTCGTGGGATGCAGGTTACTGGACACGGCGGGCGGAGGCCCGGAGGCAGGACGTGGGAAGCGGATGCATGTCCTGGCGAACAGACGGTACTATGCTTCGCAGAAAACCCTAAGAACCCCAGACTCACCAAACTTAACAGAACATGAGCGGGACACAAAAGTTTGAAACACTGCAGACACTATGTCTCCAAAGGCCCAAGGCTCGTCGTGGGCTGCATGGGCTTTGCAATCTCAGGTAAAATCAGTGCTGCATTGCTGTACTCCTCAATGATCTCGCACGTCAGTCCTCCGGGCGCAGAATGGCAGCTTGTGCTGCGCTGTGCGCTGTTCCCTGTCTCGTCTCGTCCTGGCGACATCAGCGTGTAAGCACGGCCAAAGCCGTCTTCAGTGAACTTCACCTGCCGATGCCACGCGACGAGAAACACTGAGCCATAAATGATCTCAAGATCGCATCCGTGCCTCGCGCAAGGAGAGCTTGGGCGGGACGGCCAGACGGTCGAAAAGGGCACCCACTTCACCTTGGCCTGGGATTTCCAGGTCTGGACCCCCCTGCTGCGCTTGCATTGCCTTGGATCAACTCCTTGCGGTTGGAAAGCTTTCGGCGACAAGCTCCTGCACCCAACACTCCCCAATGAGATTATCTAGGACACCTGCCAAGCTTACCAGCACGTGTTACAAGTAGCCAAGGCCGGGTTTCGCATGTTCTGGCATGGGCAGCAGCTGCAAGAAACAAACTTTCGCATTCTTTACTGAAGCCGGGCTGAAGCCCTGCCAGAGGTCCTTGGCCTCGGCAGACTCTAGGTCGAAGCAAGCCCGAACTCGGCAGAACTCGATGCCTCTCCGCAGCTTGCATGCCCAGCTGCAGCCACTTCGATATGCGGAAACAGAAGGACACGTGCCACGTGCCCCTGTATGTTGCTTTGCCGGCGCATGCGCGCAGAACACCGACATGCTCTCACGGCATTTCTGTCTACCAATACAGGATGATCGGATGATAGAAACGGGAATGCAACCGACAGCAAAACGCAGAAAGAGGCCGGCACCGATTTGGGAAGGCGCAGGGAAGGACGCGGGAAATCCTAAGCCCTAAGTATCCCTAAGCCCTCGCTTGGGATAACCACACGAAAGAACTCCCTGCCTCCACAGGTCAGCATCGTGTGGCAATCGTACTTGTTGGAGCCTGGGTCGTGATGCGCCAGCTTGTGACAGCCTGCTCATGGCATCCAGGCTGCACGTGCCTCGAGGTGAGCAGCTGATGAGCTCAGTGGAGACGGAAACCTGCTCACACAGCGTGCGACGACATGTCACGGACGTGTGTGGATGAGACATGTGCGGAGCGCAAGGGGCCATCACGTCATACCACGTCCAGCAAGTCGGTACGGTGACTGGCCTTGTGGTAGGACGTCAGAATGCGGGTCACTGAGCCGGCCTCGCCGGAGCTGAGCTGCTCTGATGCCAAAAACGGCGGCCAGCCAACTGCGGAAAAGACTCTGCCATGAGTAGCACCCTTTGCAAAGGACTCGCAATCTGCCCGATCCTAAGCTGCAGCTCGTTGCGAGGTGCTTAGAACAGGAGAGTCTCCTCTACATGTTTCCACGGGACTGATCATCAACCACATTGTGACAACGCGTTCCACTCCTCAGCAGGAGAGGTCATCACGCAGGCGGTCAGATTCAAAAAGCACAGACACGGCAGCCGAGCTGACAAAGGCGCAACTGCGGAGTTGTTGAAACCGAGGACGTGAAGGATGCCGTGGTGGAAACCGTGGAGACTGAGCTGTTGCTGGATTCCTTCGAAACGCCTGCCCAGACATGCCTAGACTTGGCCCGCAAGTTTTGCGCATAAACTTTGACAACACGCAAGCCTTGCAAGCAGAGCGACTGCGCGGTAGGAGTAGATTAAAAACTGTCTCAACTCCTTACACCTCCGTGGTCCACAGATGAGCTTATCTTGGGAGACAATGCTAGGACCTGCCCTGCTGTCCCAGTGCTTCTGTTGGGCGCTGCAACGAGCCGAGAAAATGAGCTAGTATCTAGTCCAAAGGCGAACTGCTGATGCTTCCGACAAGTACTACCACTCGGGAGATGTCGAGTCGCCTGCATGGCTGCTGATTTCGCCTAGTAAGAGATGCCGTCAAGCGGACAAGCGGTTTTTGGGCTTACCGTATCGACAAAATGGCATAACTGCTTGTCTGAGGACGGAAGTGTTGAAACAGTTGCAGTTCTGCTGTTGGAGTTAAGAACGGATAGCACCGGCTAGGAAAGTCCTGCCAAGGGCACAACCTTGACCTTTTCGACAAACCTGTTTGGTGGGAGCGCGCTGGACATTCAAAAGCATCGTTTCGGCCCAATCCCTCGGGCAGTTTCGTCTCCGTACCGACAGCGTGGGATCCCCCGCGGGGAGACTAGCTAATACTGATATGGCTTGCCGAGGATCATCCAAGACCAAACCGAAGAACGGGACCGATAGGTGACCAGTGAAAATCAGAAGAGCAAGAGCCATGTAACCCAGCAACTCTAGAGCTGTCGAAACCTATAACAAAGTTTAGGTGTCCGAACCAAACCATCTTCTGGGGTTGAACCAGACATGTTGGGATGTTGGAGTGTAACAGCAACATCTCCTTCGGTGGCTCTTGCGTTTCTAGGCCAGCAGATCGGTCGAAAAGGCTGCTTCTCACCCAACACCCTGTTTAGGGCTCAGGATTTCCCACCTCAACGTTCGTTTTAAGGATTCAGGGCCGTTCAGGTTTCGCGACACAACATCGCAACATCTGCTTCTAGGGCTTCGGGTTGCCCGGCCGCCGTTCAGGGCTTAATTATCGGCTTTCCAGCCTTCTGTCTTCATTGCTTGTGACACAGATACGACTAGCAGCTATAGCAGTGACAGTCAGACGGTCAACACTAGGAACAGCGCTGCCAGTGACCCCGAATACAGTGCGCATTCGAGCCCTTCCCCCCTCGCATCAGGTGCCACGACCCTTACGTATATCTCGGCAACTCTCCAGGATGATTTCATGTGATTGAACCCTTCTGAACATTGACACGAGCTGACCCCTGCCCCCCTTGAGCCTCTTGTGTCCGAATCGAACCTCAATTGCCACAGCACTCAGCCACAAGCGGCGTCAAAATAGCCTGTTTGCCGCGTGCCTCCAAGCAGTGCCCCACCACGTGCATCCCGAAGCAAACGTCACGACCATACAACGCCTCATACCTGCACACTTAAGCCATCAAAGCCTGAAATCTGGAATCCACCCATGCCATAACCTGGCGAAGGATGGAAATTAACTCGTTTCCTGGGACGAGCCGCATATCCATGAAGTCGTGACAGAACTCCTCCACAATGTAGCACTCGATGCCGCCGCCGGCAAGCACGTACTTGCCTATCCAACCCGGAGGCCGGAAAATGTTTCGGTGTGGGGCCACTAAGCATGTCCACGGCCACCTACATTCGAGAATTTGAGAAAGTGATTGACAAGTGACGCCTAAGTCGTTTCGACTCACCATGACAACGGAAATCTCACACGAAAGCCATGAATCCCTGGCTGGGGCGGAGCTGTTTTCCAACTGCTTCCGCTTCGGTGGCGTTATGTCTGCGCTTCGATCTTACAGATCGAAGTAATCGATCTTACAGACCGATGTAGATCTTCCGAGGAAGCAGAGGAAAATGAAAATGAAGAGAAGAGGGTCGGGACGGGTGGGTGAAACAAAATTTCGCTCAAGCTGTAACAGCTTTCGCCAAAATGGCCACGGAGTATGCAATCGATCGAATTGAATCGGTGAGTCAATCCCCTGACCGATTCGGTGTTTAGGTGAGATAATAAGTTGTCACTTCGCACAAACAAGTGTGTGCTACACGACAACGGAAATCTCACACGAAAGCCATGAATCCCTGGCTGGGGCGGAGCTGTTTTCCAACTGCTTCCGCTTCGGTGGCGTTATGTCTGCGCTTCGATCTTACAGATCGAAGTAATCGATCTTACAGATCGATGTAGATCTTCCGAACAGGAAGCATCAGAGTTCCTTCTGCTGGGAGGACCGACTGGTTCCCATCGAGGGTGGTCGCGTCCTCCAGGCGAACGCCACTCCAAGGGTAAGTTAACCTGTCATCGCAGTCAACCGATCGTGCAATCTGTGAATTTCGGGTATGTCGGAAAAACCCGTAGAGGAAGCAAAATGAATGTCTCCTATGATCTTCGCAGCCCTGCTAGTCAGAGCGTTCAGAGGTAAGTCGAGTTTAGTCCATGCCTCGGACTCTGGGACGTGCTCGAAGCGGCTGATCCCGTCGGAGATGTTGGCCTTGGTGGGAACACGTTCGAGTCGGTGTGCAAGACTTCGTCGATTGTGCCAAGTCCAATGTGCCGCGATGAGGCAATTGAGAGGCTGATGTTTGCCAACGCCTTTGAGGAGGGCGTGTCGGGAAGCCTCGTTGTCGCAGCATTGGACGTAGAACCTATC